AAGAGAGAGAGAGAGAGAGAGAGAGAAAGGACGGGGTGGAGGGAGGAAAGGAGATAAAGAATCACTACTGGATTTACATTCTCTGTATCATTGAACAGCGCGTTAAGAGTAGGTGGCTGTTAATACTTCTAACTTTGTTATTAACACATCCCAGCATTATTCAGAGTGACCATAGTGCACTCCAGGAGTTCAAAATAAAGTCAAATAGTAAACTATAATCTTTCTTTAAGTAATTTGATAATATTTCATGTTTGTGTGTACAGAAGCAATTTTAACCAAATCCGACCCCGCGCTCTTGCTCAACCAGTTTTTTTTTTACTAAGGTGATCATATTTTCACATAAGCACAATAACAATAAAATCTGTGATCCTATGTAGGGTTTTTTTATACTTGAAACCTCTAAAGAGATATTGAGGATAACGTCATAGCTATTGCTTGACTCTATTAATTTTCGCATTTTCGCATCAACTGAATCACTCGAAACTGTATTTTTCAAAATCAGTGAGAGATATGAAAAAAACTCATACAGGATTACAGAAAATTCATTTTTACATAGTCAGGTCAAATATAAAAGAAATCCTCCACTTGAGTTTTAAATGAGAGTACGGGCCGCAACCCATACCCCTTAATTTTGGTCGTTTTGAGAAAACTTGAAATGACGTACTGATTTTGTCGTCATAACTTTCTAACCGAAACAGATAGGAGTGTGAATTGAAATGTATAAAGACAATTAATCATTTGTCAATGTACCCAATACTTTTATATCTATTTTTTTAAGAGTCCCCCCAAAATACAGTAGGTAGTGATGCAACAGAGAGGTCAATTTAGTAGTCGTATTCGCTGAAAAGGAGACATTAAGGGAAATTTGTCATAAACATGCAACTCTAAGTTGCCAAAAGAGGAAAACACAGCCATAAATTGCAGAAGGAATTCTTTATTCCTAATCAGTCCCTCTTCCTGGGCAGTAGAGACGTCTGCCAGTCCAATTTTCCTCCTAAAAAATGGTTCCTTTCCTCCTTGTCTAAGCCACACCCTTTATGGCAGTCTCTGCCCTCTATATTTGGCACAGTCCCTTCTGATGTCACTGTCCATGGTTTGGGCTCAGACCTGCAACTTCAGAAACGGCGAAAAAGTCTGGGTGCCAAGGGCCCCCAAATTCCAGTCTGCAGTAGTAATAGCAAAAGCTACTTCTACTCTTGGTTTGGTCACAAAGACTGTCTTAGGGCACAGGTGTGAACATACGGAAACTCCCATTCTGTTTTTGTGTCACACCAGGCACGTACTTGATCTCCATTAGCTCATCTGTGGTGCACAGGCTTAATAAATGAGGGGGTTTGAGGTGGGCAGAAAGCCTTCCCTTGTGTGATGGTGCTGTGCTTCTTTGGCTGTAATGCCTTTTGTAAAAGTACAGTATAACACAGATAGTTCGACTTTGTTGGAACTGGCCTCAGTAGTTCGAGGCATCCGAAGTTCAAGGGATCTGTAGTTCAAAGGATATCTCTAAAAGATAAAGAAGGGGGAAAAACGGGACCGCAGGCACAGTTCTACGGATGCGTGATTTTTTAGTTTTCTGTGCTTGACCTGTCTGTGTTATACTGTAAATGCAACAGTTGTTTTCACCAGTAGGTGGGCATCTGTCATGATGTGGGTCTCCATCTGTGCTGGTGTTGGGCAGCAACGTGGTCACCACTGCTTCTCACATTAGCAGTGGAAAGAGTTGAACGACCTCAGAGGTTTGTGTTATAGGACTGGAGACATCCAATCTTCTCCTGGTTGAAAATAATAGAAGAGAAAAAAAATCTGGAAAAAACCCAATTAGGATGTAGGTTTTGTTATTATCCTCTGCAGACAGGAGCTGGTATCACATTCAATGGCAAAATATAATTGCAGACTAAAGACACATTTAAACACTCTAAGCAGCCGGGAGTTACAGTGGAACTCGGATTCAACAAGCTCGGATTCAATGAGAACTTGGATTCAGCAAGGGGAGATAGATTACCCGTTTTTTGTTCTTCTTTAAAATCAATAAAAGTAACCTGGATTCAACGAGGTCGCTTCCAGGGTGAACAGCCCCCGCAGACGTGACTTCGCTTATTTTTCTCCCTGAAAAAACTTACTCTGTTTTTGGAAACCATTCATTGCACCTGCATCGTGAACCATTATTCACTTAGCCGATTGCATGCGACCAAGCAGCGGCTTTTTTTCGTACCAACGCATGTGTTGTTGGCTCGTGCACGTGTCTACTCTGGCGTGTGTCGGGGTCGGATGTGCGGCCTGCACACGAGCGGCTGTGTGTGACGTGTGAGGGGTGGGATGTCACTAGCGGTCCGGCGTTGAACGTTGAAGATACAATCGCGTCACAGTCTTTTCCCCCCCTCGGCAACTGATCATTATTACAATGATAAGCTAGTCTTGACGTAGATCTACGTAATGAATTGTGCGCTGGTCTATGGAATCAAAAGTTGCCGTATGCTAGGCTCTGCACAGCAACACAACTTTTTGGCAAACAATCGAGATGACACAGGTTTGTGCATTTGAACGAATCGGTCTTTTATTTTTACACAGCTCATAATATGCAGGCATTTCAGGCACAACTTGTGACTTCTCTTTATACATTACTTGCTCAGTGCCTGTAATTATCTACACAAAACCTCGTGTTTGCTATAACGAACACTCGGATTCAACGAGATTTTTGGTCAGGCCAGGCGACCACGTTGAATTTGAGTTCCACTGTATTAATGCAGACCCCAAGCACAAGAATTCAGCTGATAATCCAATTTCATTTATAACAAAAAACAAAAAGGAAGAGAAAGCAGAATATATACACTCAAACCCTGCAAAACTCCCCCCCTGTTTTACTAGCCCAGCTTTCCACCAGTTTTTGCCAAAGCACGAAAAGGAATGCCTTAATAACATAGGCTACTATTTGCCCCCTACCTGAAGTGAAGCCTACTAATGTTAATTTTCCCCACAACCCCTTCACTCTTGGCCACCAGAGGTGCCGCGTACACAGTCTACATACAGAGCACATTTCACACCAGCGACTCAGCAACTGTGTACGCCTAGCCTAGGGCCTACTTGTGATAATCTCCCTTTCTACACTGACACACTTCTTTGAGTCTGAGAGTGAGTGAATGCATGAAGCACGAGCCTACAAGACAATGGACATTAACCCCTTCATCACACAGGGTCAGTTTGTGCTTTATCAGACAGTTGTTGAGTTTGATCATCAGGGACAAAGAGTAGCGCTAGATTAGCGGTTGGTTGCATATATTATAATGATTAGACTCAGTTTATAAATTCTACTATCTCTTAAAGGAAAAATATGACGAACGGCGTTCATCATCATGGTCCTCGTGCTTCACAAGGCATGACAAGCACCGTAGGTCCCAGGAAAACTTGCTTTTTTCGCCATTAAAAAAATGAACAACATCCCATCATATAAGTCACACACGGGCTAAGTTTTGCTTGTGGGGAACAGGCACAATAATTGTTGATTGATGGGACTTTGACAAGTAGGGGATAGTCTAAGTGAAATTTCTTATCCTCAAATACGGCAGCTTGTAATCATAATAATATGTGCCAGCGTGTGGGAAGTGAAAGTGAAAGAAATTGAAAATGC